TTACCATACCCGGCTAATTTTTGATTTATTGTAGAGATGAGGTCTCACCAAGTTGCCCAGGTGGGTCTCGAACCCACGAGCTCAGGCAATTCATTCACCTCAGCCTCCCAAGGTGTGGGATTACAGGCTGAGCCACCGAGCCCGGCTATGATAAAATTTTTAAAGAGGGAGAATTCCCTAAAGGCCTTTTGGAAAGACCCTGCTTCTTGTCCAGAATCCCCAGGAGGCAGGGCCGGCAGGGCCTTACTGTTCTTTCTCACCCCAAAACTCCTCCACTGCCTGAACCGCCCCAGCAGGGGAGTCAAGGTGATGCCCCCAAGACCAGACTGCGCATCTGCCACGGGTCATCTTTCTAAAGCTCAGCCTGATGGCACTTCTGCTACTCCCCTGGCCTCTAGGCCTATAAGTCAATGACTCCATGGAGGTCTTCCGTCTTCCCCAATGCCCAGGCCCTGCTCTGCCCACTTCCATGGTCCTTCCTGCTTCGTTGGTATATTTCTGGCCAAATCAGATTCTTGATCATTCCCGGCTCCTTCTGTTGGAGTAGCCATCACCCACACCACACTGAGTAAGTGGGAACCGACACAACTCGGTGAATGATTGGCGTGAGGGCTTTGAAGTCAGGGGACCAGGATCACCCCTGAAGGCTGGGTCACAGAGAGCGGCTGGGGCTGGGGCTCTTTTTGCTAGGTGATGGGGCAGGAGGAAGTCTGGTCTCTAGGGAACTTTCAGAACAAGTCCTAATCTTCCAGGTTACACAGAACCCTGCTTCCATCCAATTCTCCGACAGCCCTTGTGCCCAGTCCCTGCCTCCTCGCCTCTCTGTCCATCCCTTCTTCCAGACCAGCCCACTTCAGCCAGGGCAGCTGGGGACAGCTAAGGCCAACTCAGCCACACGCGTGCACAAATCTCTGGGCCGACCTGAGAGGCCTATTTCCATCCTTATCAGTGATTTCCATGGCAGGGTCCCTTGGGAATTGCCCAGCTCAGCCCTCAGGGGACTCCGGGTTCTGTGTGACATTGCCACTAACAGCCACCATGACCTTGGGTTCGCACCTACCCTCTCTGGGCCTCCATTCCATATGCACCAAGCCCGTGCCTGGCCGACAGGCATGGATGGGCTCAGGCGATCCTCCCCCTTCAGCCTCCCAAGTAGCTGGGACTACAGGCATGTGCCACCACGCCCAGCTAATTTTTTTTTTTTGTAGAGACAACTAATTTTTAAATGTTTTGTAGAGATGAGGTCTCACTATGTTGCCCAGCCTGGTCTCAAACCCCAGGGCACATGGAAGCCATGGCCAGTCCCCCAGGGTTGGACAGGACCTTTTAGTTACTGCAACTTTTTAGTTACTTTTAGTTACTGCAACTCAAATGCTGGAATTTCAGACCAGGGGAGTCGGGGGAGAATGGGAGCTTCAGCTCCCCTCAAATCACAGATTGCAGGTTGGTGGTGACCCACTGTACTTGTTGGGTCCCCTCCCCGCTGTCCCATGTGGTGAGAGTAGTCCCTGGATCCAGAAGGAGACTGAACATGCCAGAAAACACTTCTCCAGCTGGTGCCCAACTGTGAGCCTTCCCTGGGGCTGCCTTGTCTCTGGGGCTTGCCCTGCATGCAAAACCCACCCTGCCGCAGCCCTGGAGTTCCAACGACCCTGAGGGGTGAGAAAATGGGAGGAGCAGCAGATTGCCCTCTGGCTCAGGGTAACTTCGTGTCCCCTTCTCTGCAGTATACAGGTGGGGTCCAGCCCTCACTGCTCTGAGGCTGCCGTGGTCCCGCCCTGCACACGTGCTCAGCAGCAGATCTGGACAAGCTCAGTCCGGGTCTCAGTGAAGCCCAGCGGACAAAGAGGAACCCTGTCTCCCTCCCCTTATGGCTCAGCTCCGCCTCCTGCACCCCTCCTGCACCCCCCACCCCCCACCCCCCACTGCCCACCAAGTGGCTGAATTCCTGATGTTGGTTTGGTTTTGTTTAGCAAACAGAGAGCATGCAAAGCAGCTCCCATCGCTCTGTGTGTGTGTGTGTGTGTGTGTGTGTGTGTGTGTGTGTGTGAGAGAGAGAGAGAGAGAGAGAGAGAGAGAGAGAGAGAGAGAGAGAGAGAGAATGCAGGGTGAGGTTTTTACCTGGCGGTCAGGAGCCCATTCTGGGTTTGGGAGTTTCACTGTCCCCATGGACAGGGGAAGAGGTGGAAACAGGTGGTCTCCAGGGCTCTGCAGCTCTTATGTTCTGGCCCCTAGAATCCCTGTTCCCCTGACATTAAGAGCTGGGCTGGCAGGACACAGAAAGGAGACCGCTGAGGAGGCCAGATCACCCTCCTATTCAATCACAAACCCAGCAGTCATAGCAGCAGTGGCTTGTATCTATAATCCCAGCTCTGTGAGAGGCCGAGGCAGGAGGATCCTTTGAGCCCCGGAGTTCAAGACCAGCCTGGGCAACATAGTGAGGCCTCATCTCTACAAACAATTTAAAAAGTAGTCGTCTCTACAAAAAAATTTTAAAAATTAGCTGGGTGTGGTGGCATGTGACTGTAGTCCTAGCAACTTGGGAGGCTGAGGTGGGAGGATCACCTGAGCCTATGCCTGTGGGCCAGGTACAGACTTGGTGCCAGGGACCAGAATCCAGAGAGAAGAGAATACGTTTACCAAGAGTGAAGTTGTCCACAGATAATTGCCATACCATGTTCAATGTCTCCCAAGTTGTAAGCGAGGAACCCAAGTTGCTCAGTGCCAGAGGAGAGAAAAGAACTTCTGTCTGGATGAGCAAGGGAGGCGTCATGGGGGAGGTGGCATTTGAGTGGGCCTTGCAGGAGGGAGACAACTTCCAAAGGGCGTTCATGACTGGGTAGCACTTACCAGGTGCTGGGGGCTGCATGCGGCTTTACAAGAATGGTCTCAGGGAGTCTGTGGAAGGAACTGCTGTGTTTACCATTTTATAGAGGAGGAAGCTGAGCCCCAGAGAGGCTCAGAGACTCTCCTGAGGTCACACAGCTAGTATGGTGGCAGCATAGTTAGTTTAATCACACCTGTGAAGTCCCTTTTGCCTTATAAGGTGACACTCACAGGAAGCAGTACTAGGGTGTAAATCAACTTTGGGAGCCATTATTAAGCCTGCCGGGTGATTACGATAAGGACCTCTGGATGGGACGATTATCCTGGAATACCCAGGTGGGCCCGATGTACCCACAGGCCCTTGGACGAGGAAGACAAGAAGGTCAAAGGCAGAAGAGGTAAATGGGATGACAGAAGCTGAGGTCAGAGCGATGTGCTTTGAAGACAGAGGAAGGGGCCATGAGCTGAGGAATGCAGACAGCCTCTAGAAGCTGAGAAAGATAAAGCGCTGGGAGTTCAAGACTTGCCTGGGTAACATAGCAAAACTCCATCTCTAGGAGAAAATAAAAAATTAGCCGGGAGTGGTGGTGCACACTTGTAGTCCCAACTACTCGGGAGGCTGAGGCAGGAGGATCACCTGAGCCCAGGAGGTCAAGGCTGCAGAAAGCCATGATCGTGCCACTGCACTCCAGCCTGGGCGACAGAGGAGACCCTGATTCTCCCCTGGAGCTTCTAGAAGGAGATTGCTGATACCTTGATTTTGACTCCATAAGGATCGTTTGGGGTTTCTGGTGTCCAGAACTGTTAGAGAATAAATATGTGTTGTTTTAAGCCACTAAGTATGCGGTCATCAGCCACAGGAATGTGATACCGCTCCTGCAGCACAACCTTGCCGGTCCCTGTGGTCTTGTCACACGGGTCTTTTATGCTTGTCACTGTACTCATCAGTGGGTCTATGCATGTGGTGGCTGTGTACAGGTCTTTCCAACTTGTCTATGAGCTTCTCCATAGTGTTCTCTGCTCTATTTTTTTCTGTTTTAGTCAAGGTAGGGTCTTGCTATGTTGCCCAGGCTGGTCTCAAACTCCTGACCTCAAGCAATCCTCCCACCTCAGCCTCACAAAGTGCTGGGATTACACACATGAGCCACGAGCATTTCTCAATGCTCTTCCCAAACCTCCCTAAAGCCTCATACCATACCTTGAATCTAGTAGGCACTCAATAAATGCCGGTTCCATGTAAACAAATGTCTTTATTTTTATTTACAGCAATCGAGAGGAACAGGCTTTGACAGCAATAACTACTAGTTTTTCTAGCCCCATGGCCTGATGGTAGAACTGAGGGCCAGCTGAATGCTGGTCAGGGGTTGGGGATCAGCCAGCACATCTGGCTGAAGCAGAGGCCCACTAAAATCTAGGGTTACCAGATTCCCCTCCAGCAGGCAGGAGGGGATTTCTCTGTAGGTCCCAATCTGGTCTATTCTTGGCAACCCCGTCCATCTGAGAGTGTCCTGGCTTTCTGTGCTCTGACAGAAGGCACCTGAGCACACCTGTAGACAATATCAGCTCGAAAAGACCCAGCCCACATTTTGCAGCAGGAGAAATGTTGATCCAGAGAGGGAAAGTGACTTGTCCAAGGTCACACAGCAATCTCTCAAGCCTCAAAACAAGCTCGAAGACTTCTGTCCAGTGCCGCCTCCCGGAAGCTGGGGATCTGGGTGTGTGAGGCTGGCCTCCAGGGGATGGCCCTCCGGGCAGGCTGGCCGGGACCTGGCGCGGCCTCACTTGAGATTGTGCTGGCTCTCCCGATGCCGTCGCAAGTCTACCTTGCGCTGAAAGCCCTTGGTGCACAGCTCGCAGCTGAAAGGCTTGAAGCCGGTGTGCTTACGGCTGTGGGTGATGAGGTTGGAGCTCTGACTGAAGGCCTTCCCGCACACCTGGCACTTGTGTGGCTTCTCACCTGGGGAGGGTGGGCGGCACAGCATGGGCGGGGTCAGGGCATCCTGCCAGGCCTGCGGCCTCCTGCCCTGCCTTAAATTTGTTCTCCAAAACTTGATGATGTTTTCTCTCATGACCAACCCACACTCACTTCAGAAAATAATTAGAAAAGAGAGACAGGCCGGGCTCAGTGGCTCAGACTATAATCCCGCGCCTTTGGGAGGCTGAGGTGAGTGGATTGCCTGAGCCCGCGGGCTCAAGACCCGCCCGGGCAACTTGGTGAGACCTCATCTCCACAATAAATCAAAAAGTTAACCGGGTGTGGTAGTGCGCGCCTGTAGTTCCAGCTACTTGGAAGGCTGAGGCAGAAGGATCGCCGGAGCCCAGCAGGTGGAGGCTGCGGTGGCCGGGAGCGGCCACTGCCCTCCAGTCTGGGTGACAGAGTGAGACTCCAACTCAAAAAAACAAAAAAAGAAAAAGAAAAAGAAAAAAAAAAAAGAGAGAAAAGCAGTGATACAACTCAGACTCCCTCCAGCTCCCTCACTGGATTCTACCCTGGTGAGGGTAGCAACTGGGTCTCTCTTGCTTGTCAATACATCCCTGAACTTGGCATTAAGACTGGCACAAAAGAGGCACTCGGTTAATCGCGAGGGGGGAATGAGTGAGTGAATGAATGAATGAACAATTCACCACCAGTCTCACTTCTGCCCAGCGGCCACCAGTGTTGCCATTTTGCTGCATCCCCCGCCCCGCTTCCAGGCACTGAGCGCGTGTGAGCCACTCAGACACCCCACCCTCCGCCCGGGGCCATGCCCCCCCCTGGCGCTTTGGGGGGCCGGAAGCAGCCCCCTGCCCCCCTCTCCGCCTGGGCCCGGGGCGGGCTCCGCGGCTCGCTCACCGGTGTGGATGTAGGTGTGCTTCTTCATGTCCGACTTCTGGTGGAAGCGCTTGCCGCAGAACTGGCAGGGGTAGGGCCGCGTGTCCGAGTGGATGAGCAGGTGCGTGGACAGCGTGGACGAGCGCTTGAAGGCCTTGCCGCACATGCGGCACTGGAAGCTGCGCTCCTGCTGGAGGAAACCAGGCCCCGGGGGGTCAGGTGCAGGCGGGGCCTCACAACCCAGGAGTGTCACGCTGGGCGCAGGACTGGACCTGGCCAGGCTCCCCTGTAGAACAGGACACTCCGTTGGGGTGGCCTCGAGGACAGGACCTGGAGGAGCGGGACCCAGGGACACCCCCTTTTCTGCCTCCCGGGAAGGACTGAGGCTTGGAGCCTAAATGGCCTCTTGCTGGGTTTTTCCTGGCAACCTTTACAGTATCTCACTCAAAATAAACCTCAATAAATGTCTGTTGACTGACTGTTGGATCAGCTGTTGTGAAAATTGTTTCAGAGGTTCACATTTCATGATCATAAACCCAGAGTTAAGGCAGGGATCATTATGGGCTGCACAATGCTTTGGTTAAGAGACCGATTTTTTTTTTTTTTTTTGGTGTAGGATCTGGATGTGTTACCCAGGCTGGCCTCCAGTGGTGCAACCACCACTCACCACAGGCTCGAACTCCTGGGTCCAAGCGATCCTCCTGCCTCAGTCTACCGAGTAGGTAGGACTACAGGCACACACCATCATGCCTGAGAGACTGAACTTTTGAGGCCCAATTCCGACTTCTGCCACTTAGTTGCCATGTGCGTATGGACTAGTCATTTGACCTCCCTGAGTTCCTCATCTGCCCACTGGAACAGTAACAGCAGTGATCCCAAACAGGTGTTGGAAAAATATGCAGGCAGAGAACTGACACCCAGCATGTGGCCTGTGCTCACAAGTTGCCATGGAAGCTCTCACGATCGTTTCCTGCCTCTGTCACGTGACCGTTTATTTTTTCACCCACAGTTAGTGACCCATCAGTTTCAGGTGCTTTTCCGGAATGGATACTGAAGAAGGGGAAGATCCCTGTCTTAGGTGAGACTGAGGGTAAGATGAATATCCCACCTAACTCCCCGATGCTAAGAATCAAAGGCCTCAAAGTTGAGGACCCCTGACCAGGAGGCAGAATCGTTTCTGAGCACCATCGCCAAGGCTGGAGTGCAGTGGCATACTCATGGCCACCGCAGCCTGATCTGCTGGGCTCAGGCAATCCTTCCGACTCAGCCTTCCAGGTACCCGGAACTACAGGCTCGTGTCACCACGCCTGGCTAATTCTTTGAGTTATTGTAAAGATGAGGTCTCGACGAGTTGCCCAAGCTGATCTTGAACCCCTGGACTCAGGCAATCCTCTCACCTTGGCCTCCCAAAGTGCTGGGATTACAGGCTTGAGCCATCACACCCAGCCTAAAAAAACCAGAATTTATTTATAAAAAATAGTGTAGTTGGCTGGGCATGGTGGTTCATGTCTATAATCCCAGCACTTTGGGAGATAGAGGCAAGAGGACTGCCTAAGCCCAGGGGCTCAAGATCAGCCTGGGCAACTTGGTGAGATCTCGTCTCTACAATAAATCAAAAAATTAGTTGAGCGTGGTAGCGCATGTCTATGGTTCCAGCTACTTGGAAGACTGAGTCAGAAGGCTCGCCTGAGCCCAGCAGGTCAAGGCTGCGGTGACAGTGAGCGTGCCACTGCATTCCAGCCTGAATGACAGAGTGAGACTCCTGCTCAAAAAAAGAAAGAAAGAAAAATCATGTATTTATGTTACATTTCAGTCACCTTCGAAGTACTCTCCATTTGACACTTTTCCCACTGCTCAAAACAGGTTTTGAAGCTGTCAATTTGGATGCCTTTTAGTGCTTCGAATTTTTTTTTTTTTTTTTGGTCTCACCTCGTCCACATCGGCAAAAGGTTTCCCTTTGAGGACTTTTGTTTTCATTTGGATCGGGTGAATGGGGAGGCTGGGCCATGGGAGTCATGCTGGCTTGGGTCAAAAATTCCTGAACACTTAGTGTAGGGTGGGCAGGTGCTCTCGTAAATCACCCATCATGAAATGGGCAAACACACGGAAAGAATCTCCAAAAAAATTCACTGAAGCTGAACGCAGCCTCCCAACACAACGCCAGCTGGTCCACGGATGCCGATGGGTTCCTAGAACACTCGCCTAGCGGGGCAAGCCTGTGCTTCAAGGGCCCGCCCTCCGAAAGATAATTCCAGGTCGTGGGGTCCTCCCTCATGTTGCTGCCTCCAAAATCCCACCAGAGCCAGACTCTCTTCCAAGTGTACATCAAGCCAAGTTGGTCAATCAGAGACCGCAGTCTGTTCAGAGCAGGTGTTGGAGACCCAGACCCAGGGAGGTGGGTAGCAGGAGACCCGCCCCCCATACATGTGACACTCAGGGGCAGGGCCACAGCCCCCAGCCTCCCTGCGGGAATCCCTGACAGGAATGGGGGGGTGGAGGCCGGCCGGGTGCCCACCTGGGAGTGGACGTGAGTGTGCTGCTCCAGGCTCACGGCGTGGCCGAAGGTCTTGCCACAGACGTCACAGGCGAAGGGTCGTGTCCCGCTGTGGGAGCGTCGCACATGCACTTCCAGGCCGTGAGGCGTGGAGAATACCTGGGGGCGGGGGCAGCATGTGAGGCCACTGGGGGCTGCAGGGAGGGGACAGGCCCAGGTTACCATGGTCACTTCCATACCCAGCTCCGGCCAAGGATGGGTGCACAGGTAGAGGGACACTGGGTCGCCCGTTCTGCTGCTTGTTTTCTTGGGAAGGTCCCTTTCCCTCTCTGTGGCCCAGCTTCCCATGGATAAAATAGGGGTTGGGAGAGGGGATCTGGAAGACCCCTCCTTGCTCCACTTAGAGGCTGAATAGCCTCGTGGTTATGAATTGGGAGTCAGCCAGAGCCAGGTTTGAATGCTTGTTCTGATATCTACTTGCTGTGTGACCTTGGGAAAGTGACTTAACCTCTCTGAACCTTAGTCTTTCATCTGCCTCCTGGGACTCAGGCATGTCACGTGCTAGCCTAAGGCCAGACACCTAGTCAGGGCTCGATGAGTGGTGATGAGATGAGCATTCTGGATCCTTGATCCCACCAGGGTCCTGAGATTCACAGCACAGAAAGCACCACAACTGCTGTCACCTTGTTGCACTTGACACAGTGGTATGCGTCCATGCCCGGGGAGTAGTGGAGGCTGAAGTCCAAGGGAGGCTCAGTGCTGGGGACCAGAGGACTGCCATACAGGCTGACGGGGCGCTCCAGGAAGGCCGACTGCATGGTGGAGGGGGCCTGCCGGTAGCTGTGGCTGTAACCCGAGGTCAGGGCATCCCAGGAAAAGCTGGGCTTGTAGAACGGGGGTGAGTCGGAGAGTGGCGAGTCCCCATCCTGGGGACAGGATAGCACAATGGGACCCTCTGTGGAGACAGGGACACACACACCTGTGACTCGGTTAAAAACCAGGCACCCGGCTGGGTGCGGTAGCTCACACCTGTAATCCCCACACTTTGGGAGGCTGAAGTGGGAGGATCGCTTGAGCTCAAGAGTTGGAGACCAGCCTGGGTAACATAGCGAGACCTCATCTCTACAAAAAATTAAACCATTAGCCGGGCGTGGCAGTGCACACCGGTAGTCCCAGCTATTTGGGAAACTGAGATGGAAGGATCGCCTGAGCCCAGGAGGTCGAGGCTTCGGGGAGCCGTGATCGTGTCACTGCACTCCAGCCTGGGTGACAAAGTGAGACCCCAACTCAAAGCAAACAAACAGACCCACGCTCCCTACCACCCATCACTGCCTTAGTGACCTCATGTAGAGGGTGTCACCCCGATACTGACTGCTGGGGGCATCTGTGTCCGGTCCAGGAACACTGCCTCTCGTCCCAGATCACTCACCTTACCCACCACCCGACCTATCCACGCACTTCCTCCAAGGTCCCCCACGGGGACCACGCCCGAGAATTAGTTCAAGATCCCAGCGGTCCAAGCAGAAGCCCGAGAGCCCAGTGGCATCTGGGTGACTTTGGGGACCCTCCTGACTTCATGACTCCAAGGGGCCCTGTGGGAGTTCATTCCCCCTCCCTCCCCTTGGTACCCACTGGGGAATGGCTGGGGTCCCGCTGGGTACCTGGTGCCGAGGCCATCCGGGCCGAGCTCCGGTCCTGTTCCAGCTCTGATTCCCGTTTGAGGGGGGGCCAGTCCAGGCGCTGGCTTGGGAACAGGGTGTCCAGGACAGGGCCATTGCTTGGGGCCTGGTCCTTGGCCACTGTGGGGAGATGAGAACATCAGAGTCACCAGTCAGGGTTTCTGGAAGCCCCAAGGGACCAAGGGAGCACACTGCCTTCCTAGGAAGAGGAAGACTAGAAAGATCTCTCGGACTGCTCACACTCAGGGCTCTGCCGGGGTGAGGGGAACATGGGACCAGGGGGGAGACCCTGAGGAAAACTTCAGAACAGTCTCGGTCTTTCTGTCCTTTTTTTTTGAGTGGGAGTCTCACTCTGTAGCCCAGGCTAGAGTGCAGTGGCATGCTCACGGCCACTGCAGCCTCCACCTGCTAGGCTCAGGTGATCTTTCTGCCTTAGCCTTCCAAGTAGCTGGAACTATAAGCATGTGCCACCATGTCCGGCTAATTTTTTTATTTATTGTAGAGACGGGGTCTCGCCAAGTTGCCCAGGCTGGTCTCGAACCCAGCTCTCTCTTTCTTTCTCTCTCTCTTTATTTCTTTCCTTTCTCTTTTTTCCTTCCTTCCTTTCATGTTTTCTTTTTTTTTTTAGTTGGCTTCTCACTCTGTCACCCAGGCTGGAGTGTGCAGTAACACAATCACGGCTCACTGCAGCCTCAATCTCCTGGGCTCAGGTGATCCTTCGGCCTCAGTCTCCCAAGTAGCTGGGACTACAGGTGCAGGTCACCACACTTGGCTAGTTTTTTAAATATTTTTTGGAGAGACGAAGTCTTGCTATGCTGTCCAGGCTGACCTCAAACTCCTGGGCTCAAGCAATCTTCCCGCCTCAGCCTCCCAAAGTGCTGGGATTAGAGGTGTGAGCTGTTGCGCCTGGCCAGTCTTGGTTTTTCTGAGAAATGTCACTCCAGCCCTTGGCTAGACCTCCAGTTAGGCTCCACATGTCACTAATCCAGTGCCAGCTCCAACCCTAATGCTGTCATCACCCCAGGGGATCATCCATTCATCTGTTTCATTCATTCATTCATTCATTCCACCAACATTTGCTAAGCTCCTGCTTCCAGATGCGAAAGAGGAGGCCACCTCGGCAGGGATGCACTGGACCCCATCATACAGGGCAGGGAGCCCCTGGAGGGTGAGCAGAAGGCCGGTCTGAGCTCCGACTCACCAGGGATCAGGGCGGGCAGCCAGAGAGGCTCATCTTCCCGCACACGGGGCTGGTGGTAGGTGTAAGCCTTCTTACTCTTCACCAGGAAGGAGCGTGGCATTTTCGGTGTGTGCCTCACACCTGCAAGGGAAGGGATGGGAGTGGTTAGTAACAGAACGATACTCCTGTAATTTTTTTTTCCTCCTTTTTTTGGAGTCAGCGTCTTGCTCTGTCACCCAGGCTGGAGTACAACTGGTGCAATCATAGCTCACTGCAGTCTTGAACTCTTGGACTCAAGTGATCCTTCCAACTCAGCCTCTTGAGTAACTGGTACTATGGGACACACCACCATGCCTGACTCATTATTTTATCTTGTTTATTTTTTGAGTCGGGTTCCCACTCTGTCACCCAGGCCGGAGTACAGTGGCACGATCACAGCTCACCACAGCCTCACCTCCTCAGCTCAGCCTTCCACCTCAGCCTTCCAAGTAACTGGAACTACGGGTGCACATCACCACTCTTGGCCAATTTTTAAAATTGTGTTGTAGAGACGAGGTCTCGCCATGTTGCCCAGGCTGGTCTTGAACTCCTAGGCTAAGGCAATCCTCTCACCTCAGCCTCCCAAAGTGCTGGGATTATCGGTGTGAGCCACCACACCCAGCAGTTTTTATTTTTAGTAGAGTTATATGTGTATACGTTTCCAGGCCTCAAAGTAATCCTCCCGCCTCATCCGCTCAAAGTGCTGGGATTACAGATGTGAGCCATTGGGCCCAACCAGCGCTGCCGTATTTTAGATCAAACCCCAACTGGGTTGGATTGAATAGTGGCCCTCAAAGTTCATGCCTACCAGAACTTACGAAAGTGACCTTATTGGAAATAGAGTCCTTTTGCAGATGTTATCAAGTTAAGACGAGGTCTAGTGTCCTTATAGGAAGAGGGAAATTTGGACACAGACACAGAGAAAACACCATGTGGTGACAGAAGCAGAAATCAGAGTGACGCTTCTTTAAGCCCAGGAAGGCCAGGGATAGCTGGCAACCCCAAAAGCTGGCAAAGGCAGAAACAGTCTCCCTTGGACCCTCCAGAAGGAACCAGCCTTGCTCACACCTTGATTTCGGACTTGTACATCCCAGAACCATGAAAGAACACATTTCTGGGGTTTAAAAATTTTTTATTATTATTTTATTTTATTTCTAATCAGAGTTTCATTCTGTCACCCAGGCTAGAGTAGACGATCACAGCTCATCACAGCCTCAACCTCGTGGGCTCAGGCTATACTTCCACCTTAGCCTCCCAAGTAGCTGTGACTATAGGCATGTGCCACCACACCCAGCTAATATATATATTTTAGACATGGGGTCTCACTATGTTGCCCAGGCTAGATATTCCTGTTGTTAAATCCCCCAGTTTGTGGTACCTTGTTAGGCCTACAAGTCCTAACCTCCTTCATTGTCCCCTCGCTAGGAAACGAATACTCTTTACCCGCTAGGAACCCCTAGGGCCAGCCTGCCCCCACTGGCCAACCCTGAGTTGCACTGGAGCAGAGGGTACAGCACGTGTCTCCCTCTATGACATGCAGTGGAACCCACTTCTAGAAGTTGTGCTTGAGTTCCGGTGGGATCCACCTTCAGAGGCCATAGAAAGAGTTGGTCTGAGCTTGGCTTTTGAAATCGGTGGCTCATGGGTTAGAATCTCCGCTCAAGTGCTGTGCAATTTGGGGCAGGCACTTAACCTCTCTGGGCCTATTCCCTTCTCTGTAAGGTGGGATGCCAGGCTTGTAGTGCTGATGCATCCTACGTGCTCAGGGCCCACCCAAGGGGGACGGGCAGAGAGACTGCAGTCAGTGAGAGGGCACTTCAGTTGCAAATCCATGTTATCCTGGAAGCTGGGAGCTGCCACCACCAGGGCAGGGCTGTGTCTTGGCCACAGCCTCAGCCCAGAGACTGGTCCCCAGAGAGAGAGGGGCTTTCTCTCTTTGAGAAACGTGAAGGGTCTTGACCCAAGAAGACCCCCGACTCCACGGTACCCGAAGGTCTGAAGTTTCATGGACAGAGGAAGAGATGAATGTCCGCCAGCTCCAGGAACTGAGTAGGGTGGTGGGGGAAGAACCCGAGGACCGAGACAGGCAAGGAATCTGCCCTTGGTCCCAGGTAGGGGTGAGGGAGAGGCAGAGCCAGACCATTCTGATCCCCATTCCCTCCAGGCCTCCTGACTTCCTCTGCAGAGCCTTCTGGAGCAGACAGATGCCCCGGCCCCCAAAATGGCTCGCATCCCCGTACCCAGCCGGTGAGGCTCTCCGGAGGGCTCCCAGGACACAGGCCATCTTCCGGTGGTCCTCCGTCTTTTCCACCCCCTACGCGGCACCCAGGCAGCAGCTCAGAAGAAATATTTGACCAACGCCAGTCCTGTTCCTGTGACCTTGGAGGAGCCCCACCCCGCCCCTCGGGCTGGCCACCATGCAGGGGTGCAGAGGCGATAGGGCCAAGAGAAGGCGGGAAAGGGATTACAGCTGCTCCCAAACAACAGCAAGGGCCTGGCTGATAAGAGGGTGGGAGGAAGGAGATTAGAAAAGACAACTTGGAGCACTGTCTTCAGAGCAAGGGCCCAGGACTCACCCCTTTCCGACAGGGATGACCCAGAACAGGTAGAAGAGGGGCTCACTGTGCCCAGGCCCAGAGCCCTGCTGGAGAACATCGAGGCCCAGTCTCTCCTGGCTTTACATGTTGTCACTGAGCCTCAGTATGCTGATCTGCTAAATGGGATCATAATCCAGCCTCAAGGGATGACTGGGAGAATAAAGAAAGAAACTGCTTATTTATTTTTGAGTTGGAGTCTCACTCTGTGACCCAGGCTGGAGTGCAGTGGTATGCTCACAGCCACCCCAGCGTCGACCCACTGGGCTCCCGCGATCCTTCCGCCTCAACCTTCCAAGTAGCCGGAACTACAGGAGCACTACCACCTTGGCTAATTTTTTTGATTTACTGTAGAGATGAGGTCTCGCCAAGTTGGCCGGGCTGGTCTCAAACCCATGGGCTCAAGCAATCCACTCGCCTCGGCCTCCCAAAGCGCTGGG